CGCCGGCAACATCTGTATCCACAGCCCCTACTACACGCAGCAAGAGGGCAGCAAGGTCACTACCTGCACCACCACCAGCAGAGTATGAGTATGTGTCTGGACCGAGAAGAGAGCCACCCCAGCTTCCAGCACTGGGCCCAGCACCATCCTCATCGAGCCACATAGGTGCACAAACTGACATGTTATGGGTATTGCTGCGCAATTGTCCTGTAGTGCCAGATGCATCATCAGAGCAATCAGACGAAGCTCAACAAACAGTGCCCAGCTGGTCAGGATTCAACTCTATGATCAGTACTTCACCAAAGTCCACAGCTGTTGGCTACTTGCCCGTCATTCCAGCACCTCCAACAGATATTGGTGTAGTGCTGGAGGTGTTGAAGCGGTCTTCAGCAATATCGCGCCAGCTTAACCAGCCGCACTGCGTAATCATTGCTGATCAAGCTGTATATGCCAAGGGCTTGGAAGTGCTGTGGAAGCAGAAAAATGCTTTTCCAGATGCGGTGCTTCGACTAGGTGCATTCCACACCACCTGCTCTTTTCTGTCTGTCATTGGCAAGCGCTTTGCAGAAGCTGGCCTCACTGATCTGCTAACCATGACAGGCATCGTTGGTCTACAGTCAGTCTGTCAAGGGTGTAGTCAGTTGAAAGCACTACAAACGTGCCATACGTGTGCACAAGTTGCTGTATGAAGCATTGACACGGATGAATTTACAGCACCTGAATAAGTCGCTCTCCGGTGATGATGCTGTCGAATGGGACAGACTTTCAGCTGTGCTCCGGAAAGTGCAAGAGACGAAGGCGACTGCAACAGTTTCCAGCATGGTGAACAGCAACGACTTTACCCGCTTGTCCAGTCGTCTTGAGAAGCACTCTACAGATTTGCGCAAAGCCTCGCCCATGGCGACCCTTTAGCTCTCATACTTGGATATGGCCCAGCTTCTTCCCCTGTTCCTCCGTGCGATGAGGATACAAGACTGGAGCATTCACCTGGCCTGCATTCGCCGCATGCTGCCATGGTTCTATGCTTACAACCACACAAATTATGCGCGCTATGGCACCTATTACTGGGCCGACATGTCCACACCCTCTACAAGAAATCCTTCTGCCCATGATGCACTTCAGTCCGGAGACTGCTGTGTCGCAAGGTCGGAACGGCACTTTGCATAGGTCCCAGTGGATCAAGCTATTGAGCAGACTCTGAACCGTGATAGTAAGACTATGGGTGGTATTATCGGGTTCAGCCGCAATCCTGGTGCTGTCTATCGCTGGATATTAACCATCCATGAGCGTTCGGCAACTGTAAGAGCGTGCCATGACTTGGCCAGAATGGATGAGGGTGTTGCGTTTGGAGATGTGTCGCGCCACCCAGACGAAGAAGTGGCCAGCATCTCCCGAGACGAGACATCTGTGGTAAGGATCGTCAACCAGCTACTGGACTGGGGCAGTCCATTCGATGGCAAGGAGCTGGTGAGCCTCTCAACAAGAACGGTGTGCACGCCAGCTGCTCAAACAGAGTTGTTGCAGGCCCAGGCAGAAGGAGAAGTAGCCTTCCAGCTGTTTCTCAAAGAGCGCCTACAGTCTATCAAAGCCAGTTTCTTTGACCGGATTCCAGCGAGGAAGCTGCCTTCATTCACAGACAGCAAGAAGAAGGCAAAGTCCACTTCCAAGTTCGAAGCCGTGAAAGCTGACCGCCAGCTGTTCACACAGCTCCTCATAATGGCAAAGAATCGCACATTCGACGTGCGAACGTTAGTGCAGTATGAGCTCGGGCCTGTTCCGTGGGCAATAGCGAAGTTTACTGAAGTGGAAGCAAATTTTTGAGCTCCGCAGTTTTTCAGTCTCTGGCAGCCCGTCGGCGTGGCCAAGAGGGCCACTAGCAGTATTAGTCAGTTAGTGTCGTGTAGTATGGCTGACCCACCTCTGGCGGCCATGCCCCCAGCTACAAAGGCCGCCCTCAAGGGGCTCTCAGAGGTCGAGACGAAACTGCTGTGCTCCCTCCCGGGTATTGAGTCGTCTGTGATTGAGGTTATCAAGACCCTGGCGATTTTAGCGTCCGAGTCGGCCGATCGCGAGGATCGCCTCAACAAAAGAATCAATGACCTGTCGCGGCAAGTGTCATGCCTGACTCAGGAAGTTGGGTTGGGTGGTTGTGTTTATTTAAATTCGCAAACCGAACGGACTGAACATGTCCAATGACAAGGAAGCGAAGTTGTCTCCCTCAAGGAAGCCGCCATTGCCACGGCAAGTGTTCTCCCAAATGTTCAAGCTTCTCAGCAGAGCCAGCGTACGAAGCGTAGATCTACGAAATCGTCAATAAATCGTACCTGTAGTACCCGCACAGGCCAGGCTGCCGCGTGCACTGCTAGTACGGGTGATCCCCGTAGCGTGGGTGACACTGGCAGTGACCCTGAGCCTGAGGCGTCCAGTGAGGAAGACAGTAATTCTGAGATCACTGGCATTGAGGGCCCCTACAGCAGGAGAGCTAAACATCGCTCCAAGCCAGTCCTGGAGGTCTTAGACGACGACAGCTGGCAACTGGTGTCAGGAGAGCCTCCCAGGTCCAGGAGGGCAGTTTTGTATGTAGGCAATTTAAGCTCAAGCTGCACTGAGGAGGGACTGAAAAGCTTCACCCAGCAGCGTGCAGTTGCAGCAGGGGGTACGGCAACGGTGCACACTTGCAGCCTCCACACCACGGAGGCAGGAAGAGTGTCTGCCCACCTAACTGTGGACGCTAAGGACCTCACCCTAGTCACAACTGAGAATTTCTGGCCAAGGCCCCTGTACGCGAGGCCATGGCGATTTAAGGAACGCACTGAGCAGCAATCCAAATGATGCCCCCCAGCCTAACGCTCCTGCTCACAAATGCCTTCGGACTGAAATCCAAACTTGGTGAGGTCCAGCACACCCTAGATCAAGTCCAACCTGATATCGCCATCATCACAGAAACCAAGCTCACCCCAGAAAGTACTACGCAAGCAGAGCTGACGGTCCCTGGCTATTACTCACCCTTGCGGCGTGACAGGACTCGCCATGGCGGTGGTGTGGCAGTCTGGGTTAAGACTTCCCTCGCTATGCGGGAGCTGGAAACAATCGACGTGCTTGATCAGGAGCTCATCTGGCTAAGCGTCAAGCTGTGCAACGGCCAGTCTGTGGTCATATGTGCAGCTTACCGCCCTGGAACGTGCTCAGACACGGACATCACCATCTTTTACGCCATATCTGTGGGCCTCGAGTCGACAGCGCGCCGAAATTCGCCTGTGATTCTAGCTGGTGACTTTAATGTGCACAACCAAGACTGGCTCCACAGCAGTCGAACGACACGTGCAGGCGAATATGCAGAGGACATGTGCCACATGTATGGTCTTGAGCAGCTCGTCCATGAGCCAACCCGTGGTCGCAACACCTTGGACCTCGTAATGTCAGATTTGCCAGGCAGAATCGTCACGCCTCTGCATCCACCCCTTGGCAAATCCGATCATGCAGTGATAGTTGCACATTTTGATGTGGCACCAACCCCAGACCGTCCGACCAAGCGCACAGTATGGCGGTACCAGCAAGCCGACTGGCCCCGCCTACGCGCCTTCCTGCGCGACTCAGACTGGTCCTTCCTTCCTACTGATGACGTTGACACCTCATGTGACAAACTCACCAGGAAAGTCACAGAGGCAATGAAACGATTCATACCATCCAAAGTATTCAATCAGCGAGCCAGCAACCCAATCTGGTGGTCTCCTGAATGCCAAACATGTGTTGACAGAAAACAACAGGCGTGGAGGCGCCATCGGGCGTCCCCAGATGATGCTGCACTTCTTTCAATCTTCAAGGAGGCAGCAACTGCCGCAGTTGCCACTCTGCATCGAGTAAAGATGGCCCACATTGCGACAGTAAGGCGCAAGATCAGCGCTGGAGGTCTCTCCAGCCGAGAGTGGTGGACTACGATCAAACGTGCTGGTGGCCATAGCAGCCGTTCCTCGGAGATCCCGACCTTGACCCAGGCCAACAGTGTCGAAGTCAGGCAGAGCGCAGCGAAAGCTGAGGCTTTTGGAAAGTTCTTCTCGTCAAAGTGCAGTTTGGGTACGGATGACTTGCAGGCAGACGCGCTCCCACCAGTTCGTCGCCGCTCAGATGCGCAGCTCCACACAGTGCACTTCCGACCTTGTGCGGTCGAGCGCGAGCTCAGGAAGGTCTCCGCTGCAAAAGCCACAGGACCAGATGGCCTGCCTGGCCGAGTCTTGCAGGAGTGCAGCAAGGAACTTTCAGTCCCTGTTTCGAAACTGTTCGCCAAGTCCTTTCGGGCAGGACGCCAGCCTACCCTATGGAAGACTGCCATGGTTGTACCCGTCCACAAGAAGAAATCGAAATCTGATGTGAGCAACTACAGACCTATCTCACTCCTCCCCATCTTGTCCAAGGTGATGGAGGCTATCGTCAACCGTGCCCTCAGGAAATTCCTTGAGTCAAACAATATCCTCTCCCAGAGCCAGTATGGGTTCCGCAGCAGACTTGGCACCCAGGATATCCTCACCCTATTGAATTCGCAGTGGGGCAGGGTGGCCGCAAGCGGTGGTGCAGTAAGGGTGATCGCAGTGGATGTGGCTGGTGCGTTTGACCGTGTCTCGCACACCGGAGTGCTCCACAAGGCAGAGTGCTATGGCGTAGCTGGTCACCTGCTTGGCTGGCTCCGCAACTACTTGAGCAACCGGAACCTAACCGCAGCTGTTGGTGGGGAGCTATCTCAGCCCTACCCGGTGAGAGCTGGCGTCCCCCAGGGCAGCATCCTGGGACCGACACTGTTCATCCTGTACACAAATGACGCCGAGGACCATCTCCCTCCTGGAATGGACCTCGCAGCATATGCCGATGACACTACGCTCTTCAACTTCATCACCTCAAGAGTGTCCATACCTGGCAGCTCTGCTATCATGCAACAGGGTGTGGATGCACTGTCTAGCTGGGGCGTGGAGTGGAAGATGTAGTTTGAGCCCTCCAAGACCCAAGCCATGACAATTGCACATCATCGCCAGCCTTCGCAGCTCCCGGGAACCACTTTCGACGCTACGCCAGTCAGCGAGGCAGGCCACCTGAAGCTCCTGGGTGTCACCTTTGACTCCCAGCTGACATATGCGCAGCACATCCGCACGATCCGCTCCAGAGCACAGCAACTCCTAGGCTTCCTGCGGAAGGCCTCTGCTATCCTAGAGCCCCCTGGCCGACTCCGAGCCTACAATGGGTTTGTCCGACCTGTGCTGGAGTATTGTCCCCTGGTCTGGCTTGGTGCGCCACCCTCACACTTGGCCAAGCTAGACCAGATCCAGCGACGAGCCATCCACATCATCGGATCGGGCTCCTGGCTCCCTAGTCTATCTCTGGGGCGAACAGTGGCCTCGCTTGCATACTTGTACAAGCTATTCTGCCTAGATGCGGACAGCCCGCTAAAGAAGATCCTCCCCCCCTGGTGCCCAACGTCGACCTCGGGACATACAGCCCACCCGCGTGTCTGCTCAGCCTACGCACCCACACCAGCTATCGACTAACCTGCCAGCACGCACCCGAAACTGCTGTCTTCGCGCATTTCCTGCCAGCGCTGTGCAGACATGGAATGCTCTGCCCCAAAGCATACTGCTGAGACCCCCACACCTGGAGGGCCTGCAAGCCTTTAAGTGCCGTGTCCACCGTCACCTCCAGCTGCACCACTGGAGCTGGGCGACTGAGAGCCTCTAGCAGACCTCCCACACCCTCTCTCTCTCTCTCTCTCTCTCTCTCTCTCTCTCTCTCTCTCTCTCTCTCTCTCTCTCTCTCTCTCTCTCTCTCTCTCTCCCGCTCTCTCTCTCTCCCGCTCTCTCCCGCTCTCTCTCTCTCTCTCTCTCTCTCTCTCTCTCTCTCTCTCTCTCTCTCTCTCTCTCTCTCTCTCTCTCTCTCTCTCTCTCTCTCTCTCTCTCTCTCTCTCTCTCTCTCTCTCTCTCTCTCTCTCTCTCTCTCTCTCTCTCTCTCTCTCTCTCTCTCTCTCTCTCTCTCTCTCTCTCTCTCTCTCTCTCTCTCTCTCTCTCTCTCTCTCTCTCTCTCTCTCTCTCTCTCTCTCTCTCTCTCTCTCTCTCTCTCTCTCTCTCTCTCTCTCTCTCTCTCTCGCTCTCGCTCTCCCTCCACACCCACTCTTGGTGCGTCTGGGTGGCTATGATGTCGAGACCCTAGGTCGGCGGAGCTCCCTAAACCTCACCACCACTGCCACGATTCAGGTTGTGCGTGCTTCCCCTAGCTGCATCTCATGTTTGGCATTAAGTGGTCTTTGTAAAAAAAAAAAAAAAAAAAAAAAAAAAGCCACTGTTGATGGCGGGATGGTTTCAACGCAGAAGTCCAAGTTGCTACATGCACTGGGGAAAGACAGTGCACTTCGAGATCACCCGCCAGCTGGCTGCTGTGTTGTGATTGCCGCAATGGCACTTCTTCAAGCTACGCCTTCCCCACCTCCGACATTCGGTGCACTCAGTGACCAGATCTTCCGGGAGCTGTTGGCAAACATGGTCAGAAGCAATGCCTCACGTGTAGACTTTGTAACTGACCAGTACTGGGACATCTCGATCAAACAGCTCGAACACCAGAAGAGACCTGGGCAACAAGATCCACTGGTGATTCGAGCAGAGCGTCACGTGACCAGGCCACACCAAAGGAATGGAAGCGGTACTTGAAGCGGTACTTGAAGTGGTACTTGAAGCGGTACTTGTCCAACGGTACAAACAAGACGAATTTGGTTCAGTTCTTTGCCAAAGATTGGAAAACATCAGAGCACTTTGTGTCCTTGTGGGAACCGAGAAGCAAGTCATCATTACAGTTGGCACCACTTGCTGTAACAGTTTTCCCCTGTTCTCTATAACTTTACACTCCCTCGCACCTCATGCGTCTTACGCCTGTCTATTAGCACCTTCATTGGCGCCATTGCCACATGTATACTATCACATTTTGCATATAACTGGTCGAGGCACGCTCAACCAGGCCTCTTACTTTTCAAGTTTGATTAAACCTGTTACACTGGTAGCAGAGGATGGTTACTACTCTGCTTTTGGCAGGTGTTCTGGTCGCTCTGCTTACGCTCCTCGTACTCGTCGTTCGGCTGATAAACGATATCAAGACCGCTCAGCGCGTTAGCCAAGGAAACCGAACGATACATCCGAACTCGGAACCGTGGGAGCCAACACCCCGCCTTACGAAAGAGCCGCCTGTGTTTGGAGGAGATTCCGCTACATTCAAAGAATGGACGTTTGCAATGGACATGGCCCTACGGTCGTTGGCACTCCCAAATGCGGCACAGAGGGTCGACTACGCGGCAGGATTTTTGACTGGAAACGCTCGTCTTTGGTTAATAGCGGCATTGGAAGCTAACCAAGTGTTTTCCGACTGGCCTGCTCTGAAAGCGGCACTTGGCGATGTGTACGGACCACGGCACAACGAGGAAACATCGCGTATGGGACTAATTTCCGCAGCGCAGCGCGGGTCGCTGGACGCATACATTGCTGCTTTCACTCGCCTCAGCCTGCAAGTGCCGGAAATCGACCACCACACCAGAGCGCTGCTGTTCGTCAGGGGTCTAGTGCCGCACATCCAGCGACAGGTCATGCGTGAGCATCCACGTACCCTGGAGCAAGCTGTCATGGCAGCAAACACCGTGGAGCAGTCGTCAGGGCCACCGGCGTCGGGGCCACCAGCCAGTAGAGAGTCGCGTTCCGTGCCCAGCTTCCGTGGTCAGGGCCTCCGCAAGCTGACGGACCAAGAGCGTGTCCAACTGCGAGCAATGGGACACTGCTTTGCTTGCAGGAAGCCAGGCCACCTCGCTAAAGACTGTACTGAGGGTGGACAGCGCTACCCAAACGCTGGTCGCCAGTAAGAAAGGGGGTGCGCTTACTGGCGACGACCCAAGCGCCCACGCCGGTACCAGTCGCTAACCGGTTCGGAGCTCTGGAGGTTGAAGACGTTGCTCTCCAGGAACCTACGGAGCCGGAGACACCCATAGCTGTAGGAAATTGTCCCGTTGCAGAAAGGTGTCATGTCAGCAACGTCAGCGTCGGCAATGAACCTGAACACGACCTACTGCGCATACAGGGAAAGATCGGCGGTCGCCGACTTGACACGGATGCAAGCTCAGCAGTGCTGAGCGTAACATTGGCGGACGGCTCGACCAGCGAGGTCCCGCAGATTTCCACACGCACGCTAAGGGTGACAGTCGGGGGCTTCAGTGAGGAACAGCACTTTACTGTGTATCCCCTGACTCGCTACGACGCTATTCTTGGCAAGCCGTGGCTTACAAGGAACAACCCCAGCATCAACTTCCGTACGAACGAAGTTCAGTTGGACGGTGAGCCCTTTGTTGCCAAATTGCCTTCAGCTAACCCGCCGACAGCCGACCGGCCATCTGTGGAAAGCATGTTTATCAGTGGCCGACAAGCTCGTCATGCCCTGAGGAGTGGAGCCGAGGGGTTTCTTGCATGGGTCACTGCTGCAAACGAGGAGAATCGTTCCGGGCCACAACTCCAGGAATCAGAGCAACAAGACATCCAGAACCTGCTCAAGAGGTACCAGGATTTATTTCCAGACGAGCTGCCGAATGAGCTTCCACCGAAGAGACCAGTCGACCATGAAATCCAGATAGAAGATGGAGCCAGACCACCGTCTCGACCCGCCTACCGCCTGCCGAAACCAGAGATGGACGAGCTCCAGTCACAGCTATCAGAATTACTTGAGAAGGGATTCATTGAGCCAAGTAAGTCGCCATACGGTGCACCTGTGTTCTTTTGTGAAAAAGTCGGATGGTACTCTGAGAATGGTGTGCGATTGGCGAGAATTGAATAGAATTACGATCAAAAACAAAGCTTGTCTTCCTAATATTGATGACTTATTCGACACGATCCAGGGCAGTGCATATTTCTCCAAGTTGGACTTGCGGTCAGGCTACAATCAAATCAGAATTCAAGACTCGGATGTTTCTAAGACGGCCATTAATACGCCGTTCGGCCACTTCCAATTTAGAGTCATGGGATTCGGGCTGACTAATGCCCCGGCCACCTTTCAGTCACTCATGAACTCTATTCTGCAACCGCATCTCCGAAAATTCGTTGTAGTATTCTTGGATGACATTCTAGTTTTCAGCAAGACCTGGGAAGATCATCAGCATCATCTTCAAACAGTTCTAGAAACACTTAGAAATAGTGAGCTGTATTGCAAACAGTCTAAATGCGAATTCGGCGTGAGAGAAGTTCTCTTCTTGGGGCATAAAATCAACGGCACATCAATTTCCCCTGATCCCAAGAAGATAAGTGCTGTGGAAACATGGCCAACTCCGTCGTCAGTAACTGATGTGAGGAAGTTTCTTGGCTTTGCAAACTATTTCCGAAGGTTCATAGATCGACACTCGACCATCTCTCGTCCATTAGAAGAAATCACCGGAAAAAATTCACGCTTTGAATGGAGCGCTGCTAGACAGAAGGCATTCGAGTCTCTAAAATCAGCATTACTCGAGGCGCCAGTGTTGCAACTGGCCGATGTTGAGAAAAGCTTCATGGTAGAAACTGACGCAAGTGACTTTGCCGTGGCGGGTGTGCTCCTGCAGCAGGGAGAAGATATGGATTTGCATCCCGTAGCCTATTGTAGTCGGAAACTGTCAGCTGCAGAACGCAACTATACTGCGGCCGAGAGGGAAACGTTGGCTGTGGTATTTGCATTAAAGTGCTGGAGAATCTATCTATTCCGCCACTTTGACCTGATGACTGATAATATGGGTGTTGTCTATTTACGAACCAAACCGACTCTCACCAAGCGTGAGGCAAGATGGGTAGAGTTTTTAGCTGACTATGACTTTACGGTCTTTCACAAACCAGGAAAGAAAAACATTGCCGACCCGCTTTCACGCCGTCCAGATCTGTTCAGTGATTCTGAAATAGGCGGGTCATCCTATCCTCCTAACATTCAGTTGAATGCCATAGAGCATACCCTAGAGATTAATCCAGACTTAGCGCAGTTAATTGTCAGCGGTTACAAGTGCGACAAGGATCTTGCTCCCATTATCAGGAGACTGAAAAATTCAAGCCATGACAATCTGCACGACCGTTACCTTCTAAATGAAACACCCGGTTATCTTTATCTCAGATCTTCACCACAGAACAGGTTATGCATTCCAAAGAGTAGCAAACTCCAACTCGCCCTGCTTCAAGAATACCATGACTGTGTGACTGCGGGGCATCCCGGTCGAGATCGCACCTATTTCAGACTCTCTAGATATTTCTATTGGCCCAGAATGGGACTGGATGTAAAGGCGTTTGTCAAGTCATGTGACGTCTGCCAACGAGTTAAAGGCGGCCAGCTAAAAACTGGTCTCTTGCAGAATTTACCAGTGCCCAGTCAGCCGTGGGCGGATATCTCGATGGATTTTATCATGGGTTTGCCTAGGACCGATACAGGTCATGATGCTATATATGTATTTGTAGACCGCTTGACAAAGTGTGTACATTTAGCACCTACTTCCTCTACTATTGACGCTAAAGGAAGTGCT